TACTTTCATCGATTAGTACTGAAAAAGAAACATTATTTAATATCTCAATTATACTTTCGAATTCACACGGATACAAGATTTTATTTATCACATTACCTGCTTTCGTTCTTTTGATTTGCATGTTTTGCACTGCCTCTGGATCAATCGCTACTTTTTTAAACATAGGTACTAATCTATCAACTAACTTAATCGCGACGTTCTCCTCCGCAACGAAAAAAGCAACATTCATTTCGGCAATTTGCGTTCTTTTTTTTAAAGAATCCCCGGACGGTGTGACAGATTCAAAAGTTTTTAATTTTGTTGCCGCGTTAACGCTATCACTATGTCGTTCACTCCTAACATGTCGGTACAAATCGAATTTGTGGTAAAATGAATAATTTCGTTTGCAATGTATGCATTTAAAAATTTGAGGTAATGTCGCGTGTTTTAAAATAGAATCTTTTAATTCTGGGTCGCGGGACCAGTATGGCTGCCACGGTGTGTATTTTTTTTTTGGGAATAACACTTTTATCTTTCTATCTTTTACGCTTACTTGCTATTTTAGACAACATTTAAAAAAAAAATCAAGGAGAAAATGTCACATTAAATACTAACACAAAAATTAAAATTGTCTTTACAAACAATGTAATTGGTTGAATTCAATAATCCATTGGCCGCATGCGAAGTACAGGTTCGAACAGCGAAAAAATAAAGAACTAGCACTACAAGAACTCACAAACGAGCTTAATCACACTCACATAACACATGCTATTAATAAGTTCATTTGTTCAAAACACAAATCACCACTATTAACTGCAGAAAGATGAAGCTTCAATACACGATGCGGGTTACAACAGACATAAATGACAAGAAGGCAGTTAGTTACGCATGCACGATTTACTGCAAACTGAGAAAGAACGCGAGTCTCGTAGAAGCGTGCCAAAAAAACAGTTGAGTCCAGTGACAGAAATATAATGTAAACAAACGATATATAGTTAAGACCTATATCGATCATGGGCATGCAAGACCATGCTGAATCCGCATATCTATAGATATTTGATGGATCCTTATGCTACCTCAACTAAGAGTGATTGTTTCGAGCTTAGAAATCTAAAATGCTGAATAAAAATATTAGCAAAGGTACCAACATTACACGTATATCAAGAATAAATAAAGAAAACTGTAGTCTTGTAATGATTGCGAAATTTTTTTACGCTTAAGCGTAATATGTCAGTATTAAAGTAAAACACTGATGTACGTGTAATCGAAACAACCTAACGCACTACAGGCAGTACCTCAAGGGTAGTGTGGAAACTGCCCAATTTGACGCATGATTACTTACTAAATTTTTTTATCGAGGTACTTAGTTGCATTTATTTATTTATTTTTTAAAATAAGTATATAAAAGTACATCTTGCGTATAAAACATGAAAAATAACTATTTCTAAATTTCGTACTTAATTAATAGAAAAAAAAAAAAAATTTATACTTTCAGTCAGTAGAATAAACTGAAAATATAAATTTCACCTGATTAATTAATAATCACTTTATCATATTAATCAGGAGAGTTATACTTTTTTAAATTATCATATATCATGTACGTATTTAAATTTAATGCGAAAAAAAAAAAATTGCTCAGCTGAGATTCGAAGATTAAGTGAGCAAAATCATCATGTGCGCTAGCCCACTCAGCTACCGATAACTTTCTCCTGCGTGATACTGAAGCAGTATATAAGTTGTTAGGAAAGGCATGGGTTAACCATCTGGGGGGAGGCTGGAGTGTGGAAGCTAGGCTTAGGCGGAGCCTACTTTAAGCAGCGCGCTGCTGTACTGGCGAATGAGAATTAAGCTCTTCTGCGCATGTGCGACTCCGCAGTACCGTCTGGAATCATCACTGATGATCAATATAAGAAAAAAAAAAAAAAAATTTCCGATAAGTAGTTAACACATAAGTTTTCAAACAACTCAAAATATACTTGGATCTAATTTTATATAGTATGTACCACATCATAACATTACAGTATTAGGTATACGGTCCATGTACCAGCAGGACACGGTTAACGAACATATGTGAGCTATACACGGCAAGTACACCCGCCTGAACTTAAGTGATACACGGATCATACCAATTTTAGGCCAGTTGTGGTACACGGGCTGTATATAACCTTATGGCAGACGGGAGATATTTTCTACTCATGAAGATGGTTCCAATATTAAGTGCCGTATCTAGTGGGGGCATAAGCCATGCTCAGTTAACGGTAATATTTTATTTACTAGAACTGCAGCTGTGGTTTACAATTCACTACCCAAATTATTATAACTATCCTACAGGTGATGAAGTTTCGTACGATTTTCATCAAAATTTTTTACATATTATTGTTAAAGCAGAAAGAAGTAGTAACCTCAAAATGCACCGAGTGCACATATTAGATTATGAAAAGTCTGTTGCAAATTATCAGAATCCCTAATTTTTAGTTTATGTGGATTCTTTTATTACTATTTAAGAAAATCTGTACAAAACTTCAGGTTAAAATATTCAATAGAAAAATTCCAGATTCTTTTTATGTATAACGCAGTGCAACGTGTTTTTTCGTTTACGTTTTCATTTGTAACTTTAAAAATCAATGTTTGACCTTGGGATCCTAAGTGCTAATCTATTATACGTCTCAGAAGCTTCGATTTAGTATTTGATTTTTTAGGATTCCGTTGTTCATTTTAAAGTAATCAGTGGATGAAGATGCCAATTTTACGTTACGCACATGGCATGATCAATTGGATGATAATAAGAACAAAACAGTGTCCACACGAATTTCAAAAATGTATGCTATTGAATAAAAAAATTTGTACTAATTTATAATGTAATTTTTGCTGTTTAAAAAATAATGAACAAGTTTGGCCACAGTACAGAAATGTTGTACCAGATTTCTTAAGTTAGTAACTACTTGCAGACGATTGCATGCCGCAGGCTCCGAAGCTTCTCTGTTGGAACGAGTACTAAAGTTGGAAAATATGAACGAGTTAAAAATAATTTATTATTGGTTTCTTCTCCTTCCAAAACTGTCCTATTATAATTGTTCTCCTTACTATTACATGATTATAGTGCTGATGTGCAGTTTGTAGTTAGTTAACCCATGTATTCAAATTTTTTCATTTATTTTTGAGCAGCCCACTTTACATGAGGTAATATTTTTTTTAACTTATTCACGAAAAAATGAATTACAGTATTTTGCCCATTTTTACAATACCAGTACGTTAGAATGTACTCAAAAAAATTATCATCCTGGTATTTGATCTTATGATATGGGCTGGAGCTAAAAAGAAAATCGACATACATGTGATAGTTTAAGAGGCTATTGTGCATTAATTGATTTGACAACAGGAAAGGTCTTAGATGATTGCACAAGAAATCATAAGTGCCGAGTATCTGATTCAGAAAAAAGACAGGAGACAAATCGACACTATTGCCAATTGCATTTTCCTGGTAGTGCCAATACTGCCAAGGCCATGAAAGTTAACGGAGGAGTACAAGTGGTAGCAAAATTTGACAAACTTTGGTTAGTAATAATGATATATGCTCCATATAATATATCTAAGATACTGGTGATTTTATTATTTTAAGACAATTAGGCATCAATTGTTTGACGAAAGACTTAAGCGACAGGCTTTTTTATAATTTGCATAAACGGAGTAATCCCAATGGAGAACTCTCTATTGAATTTATAAAACATATTCAACAACGTTTCACTTCACTGATCAAGTTGATCAGAATATCGGTGATGTTTACAAGTTAAAAAAAGCTTTTAATAATGTATCCAAACACTTTTATTGTTTTTATGATCAGTGCAGTGAATGGTGCGAAAAAAATGTTGAACAAAAATAAAACTTATCAAGCTTTGCGATGCAGTACGTAGTTTAGCTAATGAGAGTCTCAGCATGTCAAAAACTTTTGTTGTAGCATCCATTTTTGCAACGCTTGTAGGCAAAATATTATATAAAAAACTGTAGGCATTATAGCAATATATTTATTTTGTATTGATCATCTTCGTTCTTATTGTCATAACACTCTGAGTAAGAAAACTGCATTCAATATCCGAAAATGTGTCACAAAATATTGTAACTTTTTTATGTTTCACTTGCGGACTGAGTGTTGAATTCAGAACTCATAGATAGTGTTGTCCTAACAAATCAATTTGAAAAAATGGTTGTAACACAACGAATTTTTGTTATATTATAATATCCTAACAATTGTTGTATTGAATGGAATGATTTCTTTTTTTTTTTACTTTTGTTGTCAAAATATTATGGTACATAAATTTTTATTAAAAACCAAAAACTATGTAAACTTTGTTTTCATGAATTATTGAACTATATGTAAAAGTAGTTTTAAAATAAAATTCTTCAATTTAAATTATACTTTTTACTCTGATTAATAATCTATAGAGCTGTCGTGTAAGATGTGATGTTTTTACTTAGTTAGCTGCTTGTCAACCATACAAAAAAGTATTCAGTACATTATATTTCAGTAAAAATTTATTCTTTAGATGAAATTTCTACTATAATATATTACAACTTATTTGCAGGAAGATACTTATTATGTATTATTTTGCTGAATCTTCCGACATGCAAGTACTAGAAAATTTTTATATGATTTGCTCGAAGTACAGTCTTCTTATCGTAATAATAAGCCTTAGAACTTAAAACTCTTATTCTCAGAGTTGATGGATGCCAGCAGTATCGATAGTGCAGACCTTACGTAATACAGCAGCTGCTGGACATCAACAAGCCACTGTTATTTGAGGTAGTTTCAGTTTTGTGAGAATCACTTACGGCATTTAAGCTCTTGTTGGTATTTTTTTGACTGGCAATCTATTTATCTTCGTGTGTATATTTTCCTAGTTAACATCCTTCACAAGTTTTTACTGCCTATTGATAGTTTTAATCTAATTACTATTATTATTCTTCTTATTTTTATGATTATTATTATTTTTTTTATATTATTATTATTCTTATTATTATTATTATTATTATTATTATTATTATTATTGTGAGGTATTATTTTCATAACTTAAAATAGTACGATATCGTAAGTGATAAGTATTTATCATTCTTAAATAGTTTACTAATACTTAGAGCGACTTTAGATTCTACATTATTTCTGTCATAAATAGAATAAATGCTGCATTATACTATGGCAATTACAATTGACTGGAGAGTTAAACGTTTCAAAATTGTAATAATTATTTACCTAATGCTAATCTTCTTCAAAGCTGTTAACACCTTAGCTTACAGTCAGAATACTGACCTATACGGTAAATGTACATTTTTTAAGTATGTTGTGTGCTTGATTAAATACTATAAAAGTTATTGTCAGTTGTTTCTTGCTTTTAACTATCATATCAAACAAAAAATAATTACCTTACAGTTCTTTCACGATCATAATGTGCGTTTTTAGCATCAACTTGATAAACAATCAATAGATATATAGTATGCTATTTTAGTACTAATAGGCATAATTTGAAACTGTCCATTTTGGTTAATTCCTAATTATTGTATCTAAAAGCTCATTCAAGAATTAATTAAAGTGATTCTCAAATTTTTCAAAATTACAATTACCTACCACTATTATTGTGATTCTTATAAAACTGATGTAATGAGCAGGGATACTTCTGCTTTTTAAAATTGTATGTCTTAATACAGTTTCATCAGCATTTATATTTAGCACATGAATTTATTTTTTGAATAATGAGTTTGAGCATAACTTTTAACATGACTTGTTTTGAACAACACCAAGTTAAGGCATTTATAATTTGAAATGAATCGAAAAATAAAAAAATTAAAAGTCAATAATATAAATATCTTATCGTGAGGAAAAAAGACTTATTACGATCCATCAAAATAAGTTGCTACAGTTTTTTAACTCAAATTTTGGTACAACTTTGTATAGCCTTTCATGTCTCAGAATATAAGATTACAATGTAATAAACTCTATTGTTTGCTTTGATGTTTTAATCAAACTTTTACCTACAAGGGTCTTGTTTTTTAGAATATGTTTGCCATTGTCAGCCTTATGATTTGCAAGTTAAGCATATAAACCGTGAATTTTTCGAAAACAGGTATTCAAACTATTCAAAAAAATGTGTACATCAAATGTTTATATCACCACTTCGTCATTTAAACTAAACTACTGAAGTTTCTTGAATTAAAAAAATAACTGAAATATATTACAGAAAAAAACATGGAAAAATTTTCATACATTTTTAGTTCACACTTTTAAATAGGCTCATACTCATGAAACAAAAAAAATTGAAGGATTTGTCTTGCATATATGGTTAAATGGCTTTTCATTTATTGACCTATGTAACTTACATAACATGAAATATAATAAATAAAATTATTTTCGTAACAATAATCAGTCAAAATATGCAAGAACACTTTTTACTATCAGTACCTACTATTTTAAGCTGTAGTGTTTTTTTGCGGTCTTCACAGTAATTATATTTAATCAATCAAATTGAAATTTCGAAACCACTCGCTCATTTATTTATAACAATTAATTGATCAAACTCCAACTTATTGACTTAATTATTTGAGCGTAATTATTTATCTGCGTGTCTTAATGAGCAATTATATTTCACTGACATGCTGAAACTCATCAATTATCAATAAATGCCTATTTTTTTAAGTTATACTTCTATAGGCGCTTTACGTACAAAAAATATTCATTTACTTATGATTTATTTTGTTACTTTTCTAATACATTAATAAACGATTGTTCATAAATTTTTTTTATTAATTTCTTTATTTATTCTATAAATACATTAATTGATTACGATTGCATTTCATTCTTTCACAATTTTTCCATTCGTGATTGAGATGATTCTTTGATTTAAGGACGTTCATCACAGTTAGTGCAAGAAAAAATTGGAAAAGTGAGTGTACTTCACTTATGGATGTACTTTCATTCACAGTCTTTTGGAGAGTCGACCCCTTCTTTCGTGTGTTATTAAAAAAAAAACAACTTAAGGATTTATTAAAAAATTTAAGAGTTTCATCTAAAAGTAATCTTCCATATAAAAAAAAATAAAGAAAATTGAGAGATTTCTACAGGTTATACAAATACAATTTTACTTAACTTTTCCGTAAGATTCCATGTTAAATTGCGATTCTTTAAAAGTTAACCTATAAAAAAAGATACAGCTAAATAATCTATAATTTTATTTAGGTATATTTTTATGCTGTTTTGAATATATCTACGTTCAATGTTTGAATAATAGCTGTCAAAAAATCTATGTGTCAAGAAAGTCATAAAAGGACATTCACTGGCATGCAATACTACTTTATCGAAGAAAGTAGATCTAAAGGATGGTTAATCTTAATTTTTTTTGCGTATTGAACATGGGTTAGGAATAAGTGTGCGGGTATATATGACAGATGTGAGCGTGACATTAGGGATGAAATCTGTAGGCGGTATGAAGTTGTTTTGAAATCATCAGAAAATTCGATGAAAGCGCACAGTTTTGTACTGACCAGCCTACATATTGTTTAAATTGAATTGTGCCATAATATACTGTTCATAATAATTCACTTGTAAAATATTTAAATATTAATTCAAACAACACCTAGTAACTGGAGGTTCACTCATTTTAACGATATTTGCACCAGCTTAGTACACAAAATTGTTTCGAAGCAGGTATATTTATATTCACAACTGTATTGTCTGGTATATCATTTCCTAGAAGTATAACGGTATACTTCGGTAACTCAGCATCCACTGTTCAATAGCTTAAGGTAGTAGTCGATCAAAAACACTTTTCTTACGATTTTTCTAAAATTTTGTGTGTGCCTTAAGATTGCTATTATTTATCATGAGCCAAAATTTGAAGAGGCTTAGCGGTATAGTTTTGGAGATATTAAAGTTTTAATGTTGAACTTTTAACACAGGAGGTATAGGAAAGCGCCGGATTGGGGGTCGATTTGTGAACGAAATTGCTTATATCTCTAAAACGCCTCTTACAATGTTTTGTAAAAAATAGTATGATATAATTTATATTATAAAGCAACTGTGGTTTCAATTTAAAAGGGCTCAGCGGTAAAGTTTTGTTGATACAGTGTGGCGAATATAAACACAACTGATAGGATTCGTCTGCAACGCTCCTACAACGTTGTCATTTTTCGAGATAGTTGTCGAAGCGATATATATAGTATACGCATACGCTACAGTGCATTATGGCACGCACTGTAGAGTTCTCGACTACTACCTTAACATACTATGTCAGTAGGTAAACACAGCAGGGACTGGGGCAGATATGCATACTTATTACTCTATCGCAGAAGTAAGTAGGTATAGAATTATTATGTTTTAAAATTGTACTTGGAATAATATTCATGCATCCCTATAATCTAAAGTAAACTCTAGATTTAACCCAGTTTTTAAAACTTTTAGGTTAAAAAGCTCCTACAGTAGGAAAGCGAGAAGAAACATAGTTTTAAAGAAAATAATAGATTAATAATGCTTTTGGTAGCCTTTTGAAGTTTAACATATCTAAATAGTTCGACAAAAGACGGTAGGTAATGTAGTGTATGTTCCAAAACCATATTAAGGTTACGTTAACAATCACAAACAATTTTTTAAATTTATCTGGTATAGTTATTAACACAGCTCGTCGCGCAATGAACGAAAAGCAAGGGATATTCGTCAGAAGAAGTATACGGCTAAATAATGAAACGGAATCGTGAAAATGTTGAGGCTAGACACTCTCTTTTTCCAGTTCTGGACAATAATTATTATATAATGCAGAGATTGAGACCTAGACAATCAATGTAGGTCAACATTTTATTGTAGATGTGTTATATATAATTGGTCAAGAAGTAATATATTAACGAAAAGGTATATTGAAAAGTTTGTAGGTTATGTAAGACTTCGTTTTCGTGTAATGAGGTTACGTTAACATAAATTTTTATAAATTTAACTAGTGTTATTGTCACTGAAAGATTGTAATGCAATTAACGCATAACAAATCAATTTTTTCCGATATTAACCATATAGTTTAAAAATAAAACGTAATCATGGTGATTTTGCAGGTTAGAAACTTGTTTTTCTACTTCTTCACTATGTTTGGCATTAAGGTAACAAATGTTGACTATAATAGTTCAATAAAATAAAAAACATATTGTTAGAATCCATTTTACGATGTAGCAACAGAAAATTTGGTTATGTAAGATAATGTTTTGAGGGTATGTTGATAATTCTTGTCGAAGAAGACTGTTTCCCTCTTAAAAGTACCGAATATAAATAAAAACTCAGATAATAACAGTATTAATTGTTAAATGTTATGTTTTTCTGTGATATTGCATTACCTCATTGCTCGATTTATGAAAAATTCCAATTTTGACGAGTTTTTCTGAAAAAAAAAATTTTTTCAACACAATTTCTGTATTTTTCCACTATTCTCTATTTAATTTTCTACAATTTAAAAAAAAAGAATAGAGTTATCTCGTTTTCTTTGAAATTTATTAATTTTAAAACGAAAAATTACGAAATCTAACACTGTGGGCCACCCCGTCCATACAGGTACTAAGCCACCACATTCATGGTGGCCTAGCTCCGAGGTGGCCCAGCTCCGAGATAACGGAGCAGGGACTAGGCCACCTCACCCATGCAGGTACTAGGCCACTACACGTTGGCCTAGCTTGAGATCTATCGATCTATAGTATGTGAGTAGTCGGGCTACCAGATTGCAGCCTGATAGCGCTCTGCTGTACTGACTGTTTTTAAATGAGCGGGTGTTTTGAAATGTAATTTTAAAAATTTTTTTAGATTTAAAATA